GATATTAGGAAGAACTACTTCACTGTAAGGGTGGCCAGAGCCTGGAATAGGCTTCCCAGAGAGGTGGTGCTCTCACCTTCCCTGGAAATCTTCAAGAGGAGATTGGACAGGCACCTGGCTGGGGTCTTATGACCCCTCCCACCCCCAGTGCTCCTTCCTGCCCATGGCAGGGGGTCGGACTAGATGATCTGTCTAGGTCTCTTCCCACTCATTGATTCTATGAGTCTTATAATCACCTAAGTACAGTACCTCTCACTCAAGCTTCTTGAGACGTTGGAAAGATTTTCCAGTATGAAAATGTTGGATAAAACTCTCTTTTGTTGACATTTTTCAGCCAGTTTTAGTCACAAAATAAATTAGTATTTCACAAAACCTCTTTTTTCTTCTTTTTCTTGGGAAATGCGGGAAATCTTCCCAATGTCATTCTTCTCTGCTGTTTTACAGGGACCGTCTCAGAACAGCCACCAATGTACTGGGGGATTCCCTGGGAGCTGGCATAGTGGAACACTTGTCTCGGCATGAGCTGGAAGCACAGGACAGTGAGCTTGATAACTCTGTGATTGAGGATAATGAAAAGCCCTACCACCTGATCTTCCAGGATAATGAAACCCACAAACATCGCAGCAGTGAGACAACAATGTGAAACCAGGGAGCAGAGTACAGATTATTAAACCTCTAAAAAGTCAAGACTCAGAACAAACTTCAACAGTGGAGAATGGAAAAAAGAAATACACCCAGAAGCAAACTTTTCTCCCTCCCCAACATTTCTACAAGAAGCCTGTCTTCCCTGTCTCTTAAATTGAGGCTAAAGAGAAACATTAAACCCTTTCCTTATTTAGAGTTGGATGTTTTTCTGATGTTCCTGTTAGAGAAGCAGAACTAACAAGTGGTATCTTTGTGCTCCACCCCAGACTAGGTTAGGAATGAGAGGAATGACCAATTAGATTAGGAACTTCCTCCTCTGTCTTATTAGGCAAAAGGTTGGCACACCCTCATCTCCTCTCTCTTAGCACCCATTTACCTGAGCCACCACATTTCTTTAACTTCCTTCTTCATGTTTGTTTTCTTGACATGCCTTTACCTGGCATGTCAAGGATTAAAGACCAAGACAATGATCTGCTTAGAATTATTTGCCATTTTGGAGTCTCCAGTTAGAACCTGGTTGCTTCCATGCTATATTCCCATCATTACACTCTTCATTTTTGTGAAAGCCTGGCTCTCCAACTCCTGTTGGAATAATCCAGGAATCATACCGGAATAAGTAACTGTCAGTGGGAGAGCTGGCCTGGGAACACACTTGATGATTCTAAGCTGAAACACTAACCAAACTTATAACTGGAGCTAGATCAGTGACTGGACTGTCACTTGGGTCATGCTGAGGCACTGCCATGGTATTCTCAATGTTTTGTTTTCCTACAGGGACACAGAGCCAAGCAATGGTCCAGGCTTCCATTGGTGTTTGGGCATTATGTTTACATGGTTGGCATGTAGCGTATAGTCACTATATAGACCCTTCTTATCAATGTTGAATGACAATTATATTTATGTGTGCATTACAAGAGAAGTGATAAGTGTTCTAGTAAAGAAGTTAAGGTGCCTCTATGGCTCTAAAAGCATGATATTAGGCCCTGCTCTGGATCTGTGCCAAAGGATGCTCCCAGTCAACCCAGCTTTTAATGGGCACCTGGTCATTCAGGCTGGGAAGTCAAAGGCTGCCAAACATCACTCCCTTTTGTGCCATTGACTACAGAAACTAACACACTTTAACCATGCTAGCCTGAAGGGCCACTCAGCTGAACTAAACCTTTGACTTTTTTATAGTAACATAACAACTGCCAATCGTAACACAATGGTTAATGGCTCCGGAGAGCCTCTCAGGCAGTACTGTCCCAGGCAGGTATCAATGCCATATGCTTCCCAAGGGATGAATACTGAATAACAGATGTGGACTTCTTATTTGTCTGACCCAGGACGAATTATTACTGTACAAAGTAATCTAAGAACATGGGGTAAGCTGGCAGAACAGGGGAGGGTTGACTGATTACTGTTCTGTCTAAGCAGTAGCCTACAGGTGGGCAAAACAATAGAATGGATAACTTTCACCCAAGACTCACCTCGCCTTTATTTTCATTTATTTTGTCAAATATTGACTAAGTTTTTTCCTTTTTAATACAATTCTTCCCTTACCAAAATCCATAAGTGGAAACCCAGAATGTAGGCAGCTGCTTGCTTTCATAAGGCAGCTGGACTGTTTTCCCAGCCTAGGAAGACTCATTGCTAAGTCCAAGTCTCTTCCAGGAAAGTTTTATTCTGAAACTTAAATTTAAAATGTAAGCAAGCTATCAAACAAGGTAGTCTGTCTACCAGTTTACCCTTTACCATTCCAAAGACTCCCTCCTCTCAGTCACCCAGCTGCTGGATTTACTGCAGAAGCTCAGCTCTCAGTCTTTTGTAGGAAACACCTAACCACTTCCTAATAAACCTGTGCAAAGCTTCGGATGGTGATTTGATTCAGAGATTTGAATCCAAATCGAATCAGAGAATCAGTTTAAAAATCTGAATCAATTCAAAGCTCTCTGAATCTTCAGAAAAGCTCAGGAGGCTTGTCATTGAGGCCCTAAAGGGCCACAGCCCAAAGGGGAGGGGAGCTCAGGATAAGCGGTTGCTCCTCAAAGGAGGGATCCTGGATGCACAAGCAAAGTCTATTTCATCTCAGAGGAAAGGCAGCAAAAGGGCACAGCAGCCCCCTTGGCTCTGCAGGGAACTAGCGGACCTCCTGTGTCTAAAAAGAAAGGCCTACAAAGGATGGAGGATGGGATTCACCTCCAAGGAGGAATATTCCGCACTGGTCTGGACCTGCAAGGAGAGAACCAGGAAAGCCAAGGCTGCAACGGAACTCCAACTAGCTACAAGTATCAAGGACAATAAAAAGTCCTTTTTTAGATATGTGGGGAGCTGGAGGAAAAGCAAGGGCAACACTTGACCAGATGGGACAACTGACAACCAACCCCCAGGAAAAAGCCAGCTTGCTAAATGGGTACTTTGCATTGGTCTTTCACCAGTCCCATGGGACACCCCTACCTATTACGGGACAGGGAGGACCGGGTGAGGGAGATACCTTACCCTCCATCAATGCTGACCTTGTGAAGGAACACCTTGAGAGGCTGGATACCTTCAAGTCATCTGGCCCTGACAGTTTACACCCCAGGGTACTCAAGGAGCTGGCT